AACCTTGGGCCTGCACCGCAGACGGGAGCGAGGTTCCGCCCCTGGCCCGGGGCCCCGCGCCACTCCCGTCAAAGGCTCCACTATTCTGTGAGGCCGCGACCCAATCTTCCTTGGCAGTGGCAGGGCGTCGGGGTGCCAGCGGCTTGAGCTGCCACTCTCGGGCCCTCCCCCGCCTGGGTGGCCAGGCCTGGGCGCGTCCCTGGCCTCCCAGGCCTTCGCCCCACTCAGCTTTTCCACCCGCTGCCTCCGCCGCCTTGGCCCAGACACTGGCTTTTCTGTGCGCACAGGGGGCCGGACCTGCACTGGCCCCAGCCCAGGGCCAGGTGGGTGGTGAGGACGGCTCCATCGCCAGCCGGGCCGGCCGGCTCCCCAGGGGGCGCAGGGGGGCGCCTGGGCAGCAGGGTCTGGCCCGGTGTCCCCCTCCAGCGTCACCGGTCACCACCTTCGGCCCGCCACCCCCGGGGCGCAGGCGCAGCTCAGGCACCTCCGAGTGGCCGCAGGGCGGACGGAGCTGATGGGGAAACGACGCGTGAGACTGCACCACACACCGAGCTGCCGCTGGCCGCCACGCGGGGCGTGTGGCTGGAAGGGGACGGGGCCCATCTGGTTGAGGGAGCCCCTATCCTCCTCCATATCCCCCTTCCTGTCCCTCCCAAGTTATCTTCCTCCGTGTCCTCCCCTGCATCCGCTACCCAGACCACCTGGACCCCCCCCCCCGCGCGCGCGCGGGCACAGGCGTGCCAGGGGCTCTCACAGCCTTCCCTAGGGGACCCTCACGACATCACCCCAGGCCGGCGAGGCCACCGCGGGCGCAACAGCGAGGGCCCACACAATCCTAGGCACCCCTAAGGCCTCGGACGGGCGAGGACCACCCCCACGTCCTCACCACCCCAGAGGTCAAGGGAGCGCCCATCCCGTCACCTCCCCGCCACCACCCCCACGGTGGGCACGGAGACCCTCGCCGCCTCACCCCTGCCTCCCCAGCACCCACCTCCCGCTCTGGGCGGCCCGCACTCGCTCATTCCCCACCCAGCAGGGCATCCGTCCGCAGCACTCCTCCCAACACTGCGTCTCACAACCGCCCTGCCCCCGTGCTCACTCATTCATTCATTCATTCATTCATCCCCTCAGCTCTATGCATGCACAGTGCGCATTCAATCAGCTCTGTGCTCACAGTATTCAATCATTTCAGACACCACTCACCTACTCAGCTCTGCCCCGTGGTGCTTACTCGTTCACTCACGCACTCAGTCACTGTGCACTCCAGGGGCTGGGTTCTCCAGGAAGTACGGGCTGGCTGCCATGGAGGTTCAGGCACCTCAGGGGAGCCCCAGGGAATGAAGGGTGGGCGGGGGGGGGGCGGGGGGGGGCAGGGAAGGGAGCCCGCCCGGGGAACCCATGACCGTCCCAAGCTGGGATCTCTCAGGGCCTCCTCCACAAGGCACCTCTGGCAAGATTCTTACCCATTGCTGGAAGGGGTCCTCATTGGGCAGTGCCCCCCACACAGCCCGTGGAGGTGTTGGTGCAGAGTCCTCTGCACCAACATGGCCTTCTACTTCGAAATCCCTCAGATTCTTCCTGAAGGGGCTGGAGGTGTAACTCGATGCTAGAGCATTTTTCTAGCCTTTGCCAGGTCCTGGGTTCTATCCTCAGCACCACACAAAATGGAACAACAAAAAAGCAAAGCCAAGCCGGGCACCGGTGGCTCACGCCTGTAATCCTAGCTACTCAGGAGGCTGAGATCTGAGGATCACAGTTCAAACCCAGCCTGGGCAGGAAAGTCCGTGAGACTCTTATTGCCAATAAACCTCTAGAGAACTGAAGTGGCTCTGTGGCTGAAGTGGTAGAGCGCTCGCCTTGAGCTGAAGAGCGCAGGGACAGCGCCCAGGCCCAGAGTTCAAGCCCCATGACCAACAACAACAACAAACAAAGCAAGCCAGGCACTGGTGGCTTACACCTGTGATTCTCGTTATTCAGGAGGCTGAGATCTAGAGGATTATAGATCAAGGCCAGTCAAGGCAGAAAAGTCTGAGAGACTCCATCTCCAATTAACCAGCCCCCAAACAGGCTGGAGGTGTGGCTCCTGTGGTGGAGTACCAGCTGAGTGAGCAAGCCGAGCAAGAGCAGAGTCGAGAGGGATGGCACTGACACACTAAACCAACCAACCACAAGCCAAGAAAACAAACACAATGAAAACCCCCAAATGGAAAAAAAAAAAAAAATCTCCCTAAGGTCCCAAATGTCAGGGTGACACCTTCCTGCTTTCATTTCCCCCAAACAGAATTACTGAACTCCCAAATGTTATGCTTGCCAGTCCCTAGTACGTGTCCCCTCAGGAATGTGTGAGTAGACGGGGCCCGCGCGTGTTAAGATGTGACGTGAGCCAAGTTCACTGTAAAGACACAGATGAAGCCAGGCACTGTGGTGTCTACCTGTAACCCCAGCCCTGGGTGGCTGAGGCAGGACAGCCAATTCCAGCTCCACCTGGACTACAGAGAGACCTCAGCCAGTGCCTATGAGGCTCACAGTCCAGACAGGGGTGAGATTCTGGGGCCTGGAATGCCAGAGCGGTGGGTGTCCTGCGCTCCCCAGTGCTGCCATTCCTTAGCCTTTGACCTAACTCCCCCAGGTGGTAGCGCCAACTAAAGCCTTGAGAATCCTTGGTCAGGGGCTGGGAAGGTGGCTCAGTGGTAGAGCACTTGCCTTGCATGCCTGAGGCCCTGGGTTCGATTCCTCAGCACCACATGAGCAAAAAGAAAAAAGCTGGAAGTGGCGCTGTGGCTCAAATGGTAGAGCTCTAGCCTTGAGCTGAAGAGCTGAGGGACAGCGCCCAAGCCCAGAGTTCAGGCCCCACAATACTGTGGACTATGTGAAATTCATGTAATCATCTAATCTCAATTAAAAAAGTGAGTGGAGGGATGGGTTAGGAGCGATGGGTGACAATGCTGTCAGACACTTTGTACTCATATACTGTTTTGTAGAATGGGAACTTCTTTGTACAACTACTTAAAGATATAACAATAAAAAGGAAAGGAAAGAAGGAATCAATCAATACCAGTGGCTCACAGCTACAATCCAAGCAACTCAGGAGGCTGAGATCTGAGATCGCAGTTCAAAGCCAGCCCGGGCAGGGAAGTCCCTGAGACTACCTCCAATGAGCCACCAGAACACCGGAAGTGGAGCTGTGGCTCAAAGTGGTAGGACACGAGCCTTGAGGGGGGGGGGGGGCCCTCAGGGACAGCGCCCAGGCCCCGAGTTCATGCCCTAGGACAGATTTTTAAAAAATGTTTTTAATGCCTGACTACTCACCAGGTCCTAACCCGACCCAGACTTTAGGGGTCAGGCACCCGTGGCTCGCGCCTGTCATCCCAGCTACTCAGGAGGCTGAGATCTGAGGATCGCGGTTCGAAGCCAGCCCGGGCAGGAAAAGTCCGTGAGACTCTGATCTCCCATGAACCAGCAAAAAGGAGGAAGTGGAGCTGTGGCTCCAGTGGTCGAGCGCCGGCCTTGAGCATAAAAGGCCTGGAGTTCAAGCCTCAGGACCGGCGTAAACAGACCTGATCGGACCGCGCTTCCCCGCCCTGAGCCCGCCAGGTGCCCCGCCGCGGGGCCTCGGAGACCGGCCACCCTGAGGCCTCCCGCGGGCTGCGGATGGCGACCCCGACGACCCCGCACCCGGAGGCGGGGGGGGGGGCTCCGCGTCCCCGAGCGCCGGCGGCCCCCGGACCCCGGCTTCCCAGGCCTGCCAACCCCGCGGCGGCGTCGGACCGGCCCCAGCCGAGGGGGTCCCGGGGCGGGCCCGCGCAGCCCCGCGCTCACCCGTGCCGGCGCCGAGGACCGTGGTGATGTAGCTTTTGCGGTGGCACTCGGTGCCCTCCGGGACGGCCCAGTACTGATCGAGGAGGACGCGCGCCATGCCGCGGCCGCCGCGGACCCGCACCGCCGCTCGCTCCGCCGGCTCCGCGCTCCCAAGGACGGCCGCCGCGGGACCTCGCGAGACTTCCCGGGCGGCGCGCGCAGGCTCCCGGGAGGTTCCGACCAGCAACAAGCGTGCAACTTTATTGAGCGCCGCGAACACGGACAAGAGGTCGCGCGCGAGCGCTAGGAAGGCGTGCGCCCGGCGTGACGCGGTAGTGTAGGGACCGACCCTGGGATGAAATTACCTGAGGGGAAATTGAGGTCTGCCGTGATTAGCGGTGATGGATTTTGCTAGCCCAAGTTGGCAGTTTGACCTTTGGAAATTAGGTCTGACCTAGCTAGGGGAGAGACGGTGACAGGTGCCAGGCCAAACCCAAGCACACACTACAGCGCTAGGCGGGGCTCCACTTAATAGGCTGGAGAGGTAATTATGGGGCGGGGCTTGCCGGCGCCGTGCCACTGGTAGAGCTAGAATCTCTCTGGGGCGTGGCCATGGTCTCCGCGTGTCACTATTTGGGGGCGTGGCGAGGATCAGGGGCGGGGTTTGTCAGACATATAACCAATCCGCGTGCTGGGAATTTAGCGGGCTTTGGCCTAGGCCGTGTCAAAGTTGGCTCTAGACTAAGGGGGCGTGGCCACTTCTACAAACGATCTTTCAATGGCTGTAGAAGCTACGGGGCGTGGTCTTTCTTGGGACTCCCCTCAACGGAGTCGCGATTCCGAGGAAAGCCTCTCGGGCTTTCCTCTGCTGGGCGTGTCTGCTGGGAGTGGTCAGATGTAGTCGCTTAAGAAGTGTTGACCCACCCGCTTGGTAGAGCAGCATCTGGACAGCGGCGCAGAAACCCAAAGCCAATCTGGGGGCGTGGCCTGTCTGTCAAGATCTTAACCAATCCTGGGGCGAGGCAGGGATTCGGGGCGGAGCTCCGGCCGTCCTGGAACCAGTGCGAATGTTCTGGCTGGAGGAAGGCACAACCTAGTTCTGGAGCCGGGCCCAGGGGAGGACTGCAGCCAATCGGGCTTGTTCTTGGAGAGGGGCGTCGCCCTGCTCGTAACCGGCCACCCCGGGTGGGGCGTGGCCGGGCCTGGGGCCTGAGCCCGGGGCCATGTCTGCACCGCCCGCCCTGCAGATCCGGGAGGCGAACGCGCACCTGGCTGCCGTGCACCGGCGCGCGGCGGAGCTGGAGGCACGCCTGGAGGCGGCGGAGCGCACGGTGCGCGCCCAGGCCGAGCGCCTGTCCCGCCAGGACCAGCAGCAGCGCACGGCCCTGGAGGAGCTGGGCCGCGCCAAGGACCGGTGAGGCCCCGGGGCGGCCCAGGCGGACTTCCCGGAGGAGGTGGGCGGAGGTGGAGCGGAGACTGGGAAGGGAAGGACGGGGGAATCGCGTTGCACTCACGCGGAGGCTGACTGCTGGTGGAACTGAGGAAAACAACAAAACTCCAAGAAAGTTAAATCAGTAAATTCGAGTAGTGAATTCGGAACTTCAAACCTGGCCAATGTTCCCAGAAGGGCACATCGATGGTCATGACCGGTTCGAGGGCCGGAGATCACCCTGATCACTGCCACAGGGCAGCGGGAGCCGCGGCCGGGGGCGATGGAATGATGGCACCTGTGCGTTTGTGAAGATTGCCTGTGTTCCTGGGTGCGTGCGCTCACGCCTGTAATCCCAGATACTTGGGAAAGGGGGATTGGGAGGATCACGGTTCCAGACCAACCCAGGCCAAAAAAAAAAAAAAAAAAGTGAATGAGATCCATTCTCCACCTATAAGCCAGGCTGAGTGATAGTCATATGCCATCCCCTTCCTGCAGGATAGAGGTCTGAGGTCCGCTTCAGGCAAACATAGAAGTCCCTGAAGATCCTAAACAAAACCAAAACAAACAAACATGCCCAGCTGGATGTGCATCCTCATAAAAAGAGACGCCAAGGGTGCAGGTGGCTCATGCCTGTAATCCTAGCTACTCAGGAGGCTGAGTCCTGAGGACTATGGTTCAAAGCCAGCCTGGGCAGACAAGTCTGGGAGACTCTTACCTCCAATAAACTACTCAGAAAAAGCCAGAAGTGGGGCTGTGGCTCAAGTGGTAGAGCACTAGGCTTGAGTATGAAGAGGCTCAGGGATAGCATTCAGGCCCAGGATAGGAGAGAGGGAGGGAGAAGGAGAGAGAAAGAGGAGAGAAGGAGGGAGTGAAGGAACTAGAAGCTGTGTGCAGTAGCTCATGCCTGTAATCCTAGTTCCTTGGGAGATGAAGAGTGGGAGGATGGAGACTCAAACAAGTTTTAAGCAGATCTATATGGATAGCAGCACCTAGCCAAAAACAAACCAACCAACCAGTGCTGGAAGCATGGCAAGCCAGCCAACTGAGAGTTGTGAGGCTGATAATTCAAACGCCAGTACTGACCCCCAAAAAAGAGGGGGGGGCACCAGTCCCAGGGATCCTGCTTTCCCTAGTCCCTAAAAGGTCCATCTCCAAATGCCATCCTGTGGGATAGGGGGAGATGTAACATTTCCCTGTGTTGAGGCAGGCTTTGAAGCAGCTGAGGGGAATGAGAATTTGCTCTGGATGGGCCTGAGGAACTTCTGTTGGGGGAGGGAGGGAGCAGGCGTGGGAAGAAGCTGTCCCTCTGGTCCCCCAGTACCGTGACCGTCTCCGTGTTGTCTCTCATCCAGGGAGATTTCAGCTCTGCAGGAGCAGCTGCTGGTGTCCGAGGCCTCTGTCCACAGCCTCCAGGCTGCCTTGCGCCAGCGAGATGAGCTCATAGGGCAGCTGCGGCCTCGGGCTGAGCTGCTGCAGGACATCTGTCGCCAGCGGCCCTCCTTGACCACACTGCTGGCTGCCCTGGCCCAGGCTGAGCAGCTGGGGCCCGTGCCGGACAATGACCCCTGCCATCTGCTCCCCAGAGGACCTGGCCCGCCCCTAGCCAACAGCACTGGAGAGGAAGGGAGTGAGGATTACCTCGAGCCTGCGGTGTTTGGGACCACGGTGTGAACCCTGGAGCACAGGGTTGAAGAACCAGACATAGAGGAAGTGCCTTTGGGAATCACCACTGTGGAAATCACATCCTGGAGGGCATGCTGGGGACACAGCCATCGTCCTGTCCAAACATGGAAAGAAGCAAAAAGCCAAGTTTTCATTTTTTAAATTTTTTTCTGCAGTGCTGGGGATTGCAAAAATGACTTTTTTTTTTTTTTTTTATAAACAGGAGCCCATAGGCTGAATACCACTTAGCCCAGACAAGTTAAAACAAACAGTGAAACTTTGCATCTCTCATTGTTGAAAAACTGGCAATGCTTATGTGAACACTGTGGACTTTTTTTTTTTTTTCTTCAGTCTTGGCAGTCAGTGCCTGCCTGAATCTGAACCCTAGATATTCAGGCTAGGAGATGTGTTGTCCCTTACTTCTTAGACTACCCATGGGGCCTGGAAGACTGAGGCAAGTCCTCTCTGTCTCTGTGGACACATGTGGTACCAAGATCTACGTGGGTTGAGTTTTTCTTCTACCTCTCTCCCCACTAGCCCTTTGCCTTCTTGTTCATTGGAATCATCTTCCATCCTTGGGTTATAGCTTTTTCTTTTTATCTCAGTCAAAAATGGGTAGCCTTGCCCAGCATTGGTGGCTCACACCTGTAATCTGAGCTACCCAGGAGGCTGAGATCTGAGGATCGCGTTTCTTGAAGCCAGCCCAGGCAGAAAAGTTTGGGAGACTCTTGTCTCCAATAAACTACTCAGAAAAAGCCACAAGTGGTGCTGTGGCTCAAGTGGTAGAGCTCTAATCTTGAGCAAAAAGAGGCTCAGGGACAGCACCCGGGCCCTGAGTTCAAACCACAGGACTGGGAAAAAAAATTGCTTTATCCCATTTTCCATTGGTTTTTTGGGGATCATTTTAAATCCTGGATCTACTTTCCAAAACTTTACCTTCCCTCAGCTTCTCCCCTCCTCCCCAATTTTATTTTGAGTTTTGGTGGTACTGGGGTTGACTTGGGGCCATTTGCACTACTGGAGCTCTGCCATTTGAGCCATGCATTCAGCCTGGCTTTTTGCTAACTAATTGGAGATGGAGTCTCATGGACTTTTCTGCCTGAGTTGGCCTTATATTGTGATCTTCAAATCTCAGCCTCTTGAGTAGTTAGGATTACAGACATGAACCACCCAGCACCCAGCTCTCCTTCAGCCTTTCATCACCAAAGTAGAGAAGGCAGGAGGGGCATGTAGAGGTGCTGGCAACCAGACTGCCCAAGCTGCATGCTGCAGCCTTTTCCTGATGGTGTCTTGCCTCACAGCCTTTGGCCTTTCTGTGCCTTTGCCTAGAATGCTCTTTCCCTCATTTACTGTTGACTCTGTTTACTTGGGTCTTTGCTCAGAGAGGCCTTACCTGACCCTCTCACCTGAAGTAATAATTCGTCCTCCCACCTCACCCCTGCCTTACAATGATTCCACTTTTTTTTTCCCCCCAGTCCTCGAGCTTGAACTCTGTCTCTGAGAGTCTTTTTGCTCAAGGCTAGCACTCTACCACTTGAGCCACAGCGCCACTTCCGGCTTTTTCTGCTTATGTGGTGCTGAGGAATTGAACCCAGGGCCTCAGGCATGCAAGGCAAGCGCTCTACCACTGAGCCACCTTCCCAGCCCTGGAGTATCTGTTTTTGCATTTTGCGTTTCCACACTGCCCTCCCAGGCTAAGAAATGGAAATAGTCGCAGTTTGGTATCAAGATTCCTGTGCCTTCTCACCCCCAGCCTGGGTGCAGCCACACCCTGGCCCTTATACTCAGGGAACTGTCAGCAGGAGCTGCCGAGGGGCTGGCAGGGTCTGTTTCGGCTGGAAAGTCTGATCTCTGGCCATCAGGATGGGACTGCCTTCCCACCCGACATCGGACAGTGGCCCTCTGCAGTGGTGAGGGTATGCTTCCTCCCCGCCCTTCCCAGGAATAAGTGGGTGCTGCTTCACAGAGCCGGGGGCAGGTTGGGGCCTGGCTGTCCTCAGGAATAAAATCGGATGATTCTTAGCCTGGGTCCTTGTTTGTCCTTTCTTCCTGGCAGGAGGGCTGGAGAGGAGGCCCTGGGGAGGGCCTTGACTAGGGCGGTTAGGCCTGGGGTTCATGGCTGGGTCTGCTCCGCCCCAGGATTGTCGTAAGCATGGAGCCACCTGTGCACACACACTTGCCCCCAGTCGGCACCTGTGCAAACCAAGAGACGTGACAGAGAAACAGCTTTTATGACTGGAGTTTAAGGTCGCTCCCAGTATTTGGGGACAGTTACTGTTGAGATTCTGCTGTCTTCCCCCCCCCCCCCGCCCCGCCCCTTGCCCCCCTTGTGGTACTAGAGATTGAACTCAGGGTTTCACATTCACTAGGCAGATGCTCTACCACTTGAGTCACACACCTTAGCCTTACTACTCGGACCATGCCCTCTACTGCTTGAGCCACGCCCCCATCCTTTTTGTTTTTTCCCCAGTGCTAGGGTTGAACCCAGGGCCTCACACAGGCCGAGCAAGTGCTCAGCACTGAGCTGCACCCCAGCCTGCCATCTTTTTTGTTGTTGTAGTTGTTTTGTGCTGGCGCAGGGGCTTGAACTCAGGGCCTGGGCGCTGTCTTTGAGCTTGTTTTGCTCAAGGCTGGTGTTCTACCAATTGAGCCAGAGCTCAACTTCTGGTTTTTGGTGGTTAATTGGAGATAAGAGTCTCACAGACTTTCCTACCCCAACTGAACCATGATCCTCAGATCTCAGCCTCCTAAGAAGCTAGGAGTACAGGGGTGAGCCATTGGTGCTTGGCCTGGCATCTCATTTTGAACCTCTCTCCCTCTCCCTCCCTCCCTCCCTCCTCCCCTCTCTCTTTCTCTCTCTCCTGCTGATACTGGGGCTTGAATTTAGGGTCTTACACTCTCATTTGGCTTTTTCACTCAAGGCTGGTGGTCTACAACTTGAACCATGCCGCTAGTGTTGTTGATAAACTGGAGATAAGAATTGCATGGACTTTTCTACCCAGGCTTGGCTTCTAAGCTTGATCATTAGATTTCAGCCTCTGGAATAGCTAGGAATATAGGTGTGAACTATCAATGTCCAGGAAAGAATATTGCCAGCCTTTTCTTGTTTCCTTTAACATTAAGAAGTTTCCCTTAAGCCGGGTGCTGGTGGCTCACGCCTGTAATCCTAGCTACTCAGGAGGCTGAGATCTGAGGATCTCGGTTCAAAGCCAGCCCGGGCAGGAAAGACCGTGAGACTCCTATCTCCAATAAACCACCAGAAAACCAGAAGTGGCGCTGTAGCTCAAGTGGTAGAGCGCTCGCCTTGAGCTGAAGAGCTGAGGGACAGCGCCCAGGCCCAGAGTTCAAGCCCCACGACCGACAAAAAAAAAAAAAAAAGAAGTTTCCCTTTCCTAGTAATATAAAAATTCCTGTATTCCCTCCTCCCCCCTCCCCTCCCTTCCATGTTGGAAATTTAGCTCAGGGCTTCACATGTGCCAGACAAGCACTCAACCACTACGCTACATTCTTACCCTTTATCAGACTGGTGGAGAGTACTGGGATTGAATCTACCTTGAGCTGTGTCCCAGCACTGATTTTTAGAAGAGTAACAGCACTGGAGGCATGGCGGTGTGTTTCTGGCCCTGGGTTCCATATTCAGCACAACAAAAACAGAACAAGCCAGGCGCTGGTAGCTCACTCCTAGCCTTGCTACTCAGGAGGCTTAGATCTGAGGATCATAGTTTGAAGTCAGCCTGGGGAGGAAAGTCTGTGAGTCTTATCTCCCATGAGCCAGCAAACAGTTGCAAGTGGAGCTGTGACTCAAGTGGTGGAGCGCTAACCTTGATCATAAAAGCTCAGGGACAACTCCCAGGCCCCGAGTTCAAGCCCCAAGACTGGCACACACTCAAAAAAGCCATCTTGGCTCAGTTACTTTCTGATGACCCCTGTGAGATTTGACAGAATCTCAGGACCTAGGCAGGCCCTGGGCTCTGCCCTGCCGCAGACTGCTCACCTGGGCCTGAGGAGGGCTGCAGCTCAGGCCTGGGCCCAGCAGGGCTGGAGGAGGACGAGACGCTGCCTCCAGCAGCCATTTTCTGGGCACAGGACGCTCCAGCCAGGCCCCTCCCTGTCCCCAGAGCCAGGTCCCTTGGCAACAGCCTCTCCAGGCAGAACCAAAACTAACACTGGGCAGAGCCAGCAAGACTCCCAGACAGACGCAGGCCAGGTGAGAGGCAAGGGGCGGAGGTGCTGCAAGGTGACCCCACTCTACCCTGGCTGCCCTACCAGAGTCCCACGGAACCCTTTTCCCTCCAGCTGCCCCAGCATGGACACGGGGGATGGCATCATGGAGAGGCTGCGGGCACAGTGCCTGTCCCGAGGGTCCTCGGGCATCCAGGGCCTGGCCAGGTGAGGGGAGGGTGGGGTCCTCCTTTCCCCTCGCCCCACCCCCCATACCGGCTACTCAGAGATGGCAGCCTCCTCAGCCTCGTTTGCCCCTAGGTTTTTCCGCCGCTTGGACCGGGATGGGAGCCGGTCCCTGGACGCGGGGGAGCTGCGGCGTGGCCTGGCTCAGCTGGGGCTGGCGCTGGACCAGGCCGAGGCGGACGCCGTGTGCCGGCGCTGGGACCGTGACGGCAGCGGGAGCCTGGACCTGGAGGAGTTCCTGCGTGCACTACGGGTGAGGCGGCCTTGGGGGGTTGGGTGCTGGCTGGGAGGTGGGACCCCCTCCATCTCTGACTTAGGGTACCCCAGTGCCAGGCTCCATCCCAGTCACTGCCCCTCCCTAGCCCCCCCTGTCCCAGGCCCGGAAAGCGGTCATTGCCGCCGCCTTTGCCAAGCTGGACCGCAGCGGGGACGGTGTGGTGACGGTGGAGGACCTCCGTGGGGTGTACAGCGGCCGGGCTCACCCCAAGGTGCGGAGCGGGGAATGGACGGAGGAGGAGGCCCTCCGCCGCTTCCTGGACACCTTTGAGTCTTCCGACAAGGATGGGCAGGTGGGTACCCGTGCAGCCTCCCCTCTCCCCCAGCACCCCGGCTGCCCATCACAGCCCGCACCCCCGCAGGTCACACTGGCCGAGTTCCAGGACCACTACTGCGGCCTCAGTGCTTCTGTGGATACTGACGAGGAGTTTGTGGCCATGATGACCAGCGCCTGGAGGCTGTGAGCCGCGTCCAGCGGCCCCAGGAGCGGGGGGGGGGGGGGGGGGGGGGGGGGGAGGGGGGC